TCCGAGGAGTACGATTTCGGCATACACAGTTGAGGTGAGTTACCTTCCTGTATGAGTGGGTCGAAGGCACCAATGCTAGCCCACTAGTAGTTGTTTGTAGTAGAGATGATTGTCTTTGTGATAATTATCTGGTATGCCACTATCTGTTATGTTTTTTGTGCTTATTTTCTACGATATTTATGTGGTAGTGGTAGGGGTGAAATAGACCCAATATTCGGTTGGAATAGACCGAAGGGGAGGCCATCACCCAGATATGCTCGGCGGTATCCGGTTGGAATAGACTGAAGGGGAGGCCAGCACCCAGCTATGCTCGACAGTATCCGGTTGGAATAGACCGAAGGGGAGGCCAACACCCAGATATGCTCGGTAGTATCCGGTTGAAATAGACCGAAGGGGAGGCCGGCACCCATATATGCTTAACAATGTATTTGTTGCATGGCATGTGGTATGATGAGGGAACTCACTAAGCTTTGTGCTTATGGTTTTCAGTTTTTGTTTCAGGTACTTCTCTTCGAAAGGAAAGGAGCCGACATGATCGCATCGTATTACACTATGGTTTTCCGCATTATGAGATTCTTGGGAGTTGTACTCCGACATTGTTTTATTATGACATCTTTTTATTATTGACATATTGGTTTGATATGGGATGTCACCATGGGTGTTTTCAGATTATTGGTTTTATAACTACTTAATTAAAAATGAAATTTTTGGTCTTAAATTTTGGGATGTTAGAACATCACTTTCATCACATTGCAGATCCTCTTCATAAGGTATTTCCTGATGTACTCAAGACAACTTATGATGGTGTTATTCCTACCATGAATAAGCTTACTGTTGAATACCTCACACAAATTGTTGAGCAATATGTCTGATCATGCTCTACCTATATTAAACAAGTACATTATATCAAATAAGTCAAATACAATGATCACTAGTAAAGAAAAACCTAAGGTAGGGAATATAACCTGAAAAGTGGCTTCTGGCCCAATGGTGAGGGGGGATTCTCTTCAACCACTCAAAAGCATCCTTATCAAACTTGCTAAGTTCATTTATGCAGTATTCAAATTCTGGTACTGTGGTTGCTGTTGCACATTGCCATAAGTGGTCTCTATACTCTTTTGTTTTCCATTTTTTTCCTCATGTTCTCATAAATATGCCTTAGACAGAACTGATGCTCAGCTTGTGGGTACAGTTGTGCAATAGCAGGTAAGAGTCCTTGTAAAATATTATCCCACATAATTAGTCCAACATTCATATACAAATGAACTATTAGTTATACAAAAAGAAGAAAATAGTACCTTTTGTCTATCACTCATGAAAGTAAAGTTATAATTTTAATACAACTCCAATTCATCTCCTAAGCATTCTAGAAACCATTTCTAGCTACTCAAATTTTCAGTCTCAACAATGACATATGCCAGTGGTTATATGATATTGTTTAAATCCAATCCAAATGCAGTGAGTACTTGGCCTGGAAATGGTCCTTTCGTAAAAGCACCATCTAGTCTGAGAATATCTCTTAACCCTGCTTTAAACCCTTTCTTTAATGCCCCTAAGCAAACATACACCCTCTTAAACTACCTTGTTTCTCTAGCACTGTTAGGCTCATTAACAACCTCAAGCTTCACAGTTGTATCCACATTAGTTGCTTGTAGTTCCATAAGATAATCTCTTAACACCTCGTATTGCTTTGTGTAGTCAACAATTACTTGCTTTGTAGCTGTTTCTTTTCCCCTCTGTACTTTGTGTATGGACACACCGACTTGAAGCCTCTTTTGAACTTGGTCTTGAATGCTTCGAAGGGGTATTGTAGGGTTAGACTCGACCATGTCTAAGATTTACGTGGATATATACTTCGCAGTGCAAGCCCTAAGTTTTCTAGTTTGAACACATGTATGTTTGTCCAGTAAAGTTTTCACATACCTATGATCACTATCTTTTGACCTTGAAGTCTGCATTGACCAAGAGCAATTCACTTTATTACCCTTACCTACCCCACTTGCATTTACATTAAATACATTACCTTTACACATAACCCTAAGCCTCATTTTGTCATTTTTCTTGAAGCCAAGATTCCTTCTAGTTTCAATGGCAAGTTTTTTGACTTTGTCCTTAATTTCCTTTTTTACTTTTATACCTTTGACCCACTTGAAAAGTAACTGCATGAACTTCACCAAACAAGCACTTCTTCTCCTTTACCAACTGTTTTAATATTGCTTTCCTCCTCTCATCATCAGTATCTTCACCTAATGAGTCCCATTCATCATTATCAATTACTTCAACATCTTCAATATCAACCTCTTCATTAATACCCTCAACACCCTTTCCTCTGTCAACATACTCAACATCTAGATCAACATTCATATAGAAATCACTCATGTCCACCTCAAAATCACTTACATAATTTTCTTCATCTTCAAGAAAGTCATTATCTTCCTCACTCCCTTCACTACCTCCTTCACTACCCCCTTCACTACCTCCTTCACTAACCCCTTCACCAAGTCCTTCACAAACTCCCTAACTTTCAAATTGAACCTCACCAAGTCCTGCACCAACTCCCATACTCTGATCATTACGTTTATTAAAAGTATATTGCTCAAAGAAGGGATCAAAGCCTTCAAATTGAAATGGTTGGTCATAAAAGGTATCATACACTTCTGTATTTACTTCTTGATCACCAAGAGTTGCACCTTGACCATGAACTTCTGCACCTTGATCATGAACCTCTGTACCTTGATAATGAACTTCTGTATCTTGATCATGAACAACTGTATCTTGATCACCAATAGTTGCACCTTGATTACCAATTTCAACATGTGCATCTTGATCACCAATAGTTGCAGTGTGTTCCAAGTTGAAACACAAAATTCTTACTACATGATTGACTCCCTTCAACTAACTGTAATCTCCTATTCTTATTGTATTATGGTGTCTCATACCTTTACCAAACACAATTCAAGATTTGGGACCTCTTCATGGTTTTGGTTTACTGGATGCAAATCAACTACTGCTGAATTTGATTTTGGTAATCTGTTATTTCCTTAATTATGACCCTAGGTTTAACTTTTGGAGATATAAAGTATGTAAATAACTTAGTTTCATTATGTTTAGTGTATACCTTGATGATCTTATAATGTTCAATGTACTGTGCAAGACTAAGTACATCAACATCATTCCCTAAAGCTCTAAGACCAAACTCCAAATCTCCATTTGGCAGTTGATTGTGGTAGTAAATGATTGATGGTACCTCATAACCAAGCTTTAGCATCACCTCGTCCAACTCATGTACAAAGAACTCATCCATGTCTACCAGGTCCACGTGGTCCAATTTTCCTTCAATGTAGCTTATCCCTGGGAATTTTGTGAATCTCCCTCCATGATGGAGCTCAATAGTAAACATCGGGGGATATCCTTCTGTAAAAAATCATGAACCAAACCAAAGAAACATTACTTTATACTGATTGTAAAAGCTTTTTATTGTTTCAAAGAAAATATATAAGAAACAGAGTACGTTACCGTAATCCAGATTGCATCAAAACACTGATTTCTTGGCCTGATTTCCCACATTTGGAGCATACTTGTGGAATCGAACTTACGATTGAAGTTGATGATCAAATGCAGGAGTTTAAGGAACGATTAGAGTTTTTTAATCAAGAAAATGGGTTTGGTGGGTAGAGAGTGAAGGGTCATTAACTCTAACTGTGTATATCCATCAATATGACAGTAATCGATGACATAGAGGTGGAAAGACAAAATACACTCGTCTATATTGCACGTAACGGAACATATGGACGGAAGTTAGTGTGAGGGACAAAAAACAATAGAAATATCCAATTTTGGACCAATAGTGCACCAAGGTTTCGTTATGGACGAAAATCACATAAATTTGCCAACCACAGAGACCATTTTTGCAATTTTGTCTCTAGTTAATTATAAAACCATGTTTTCTTTATAAACATGATGTCGTCTATGTATCCACCAAAAAACGCCACTTTCCGTTCCCTATGATCGTATATTTGATTGCACCTCTCGAGGTCTTGCCGGTCTCTGTTTCGTGTTCATTCTTTGTTTCGTGTTCATTCCTTAAAGGTACAATTTACTATCACCGTCTCGTTTTCTTTATTTCTTTTTGCTCTTAGTCTCTGTTTGATTGATGACTAGAAAAGTGATTTACAAATTACAAAACCATGTTTCTTTTTATATTTTTATCCCTCCATATGTTTAGTAGCCTACTTGATTTTTTTCTCTGTTTTTTAAGGTAACTAGTAAACATGCCCTTGTATCGCAAGGGGGAGTTTCTTTTTATGGTAATGTAATGAGAAGAAGGCAGGCACTTGGCCGTTGGCTCTATAAGTTAATTCATAATTTTATTTATTCTATTTTTTTATATGTAGTTTTTAGTTAGTTAAATCTAATAATTATATTATAGTTTTTATAATTTACTTATTTCATGAATCCGTTTTAATAAATAGAATTGTTTACTTGATAAACCATATTTTTCCAGTTTCTGTAGACGTTTTATTAATAAATTAAAAATATACAACGTCAACAACAAGTATTATTGTAGAAAACATTATACAATCATTACAATGTAACTTGTTTCTCACAGTTTAAATCATACATTTTATTATTTTTGCATCGCACAATGTATATTTCTTTTTATGTTTTCTGCGAAAAACTAGTATAAACTACTGCATGTCTTAGTTTTTTCCTTTTTTTTTTTTCCTTTTTTTTTAAACTGTCGTTTTAATTTATATGTTGTATTAAAATAGAGTTAAAATTTAGAGACGATGTTATAAAATCGTAATTAATTTACACATTAAATTTCGTAATACAATCCCCTGGACTCGTCCATCACTTTCATCTTTACATAATATACAAAAAGTCTATTGGCAAAAAAAAAAAAAAAAAAAAAAAAAAAGACTAGCCTACAGACACTCACTCACAATGAGCTTAAGCTTGAACTTCCAATAGACCAATACTATCTATCGTACTTTGTTTTACCAAGAAGCAGAGCTTTCTGACAAACTCAAAATCTCCTCCAAGTAATCAGCACCCAGGTCCTCAAACACCACCACATTCTTACGATCTTCATCTAACTTCATCTCTTTCCTCTTCTTCTCTCTGATTATAGCTTTCCTTCTGATGGAGTGACTCCTTTTCAATGCCAACACAGGAGAACCCCCTTCCTCAAACCTATAATCCATTGCTCTAAGCGACTCGTAAACCGTCTCTACAGGAAAGTTAAGAACTGCCATTGAACCCCTAGCGGCAAATGCAGCTTGATCATATGCTAAAGCAGCCTCCTCAGCTGTATCAAAAGTCCCCAACCAAACCCTAGCCCCATTCCTTGTGGAATCTCTTATTTCTGCTGCATATTTGCCCCATCTCCGCGCACGTACCCCTCTGTAGCTAATCTTGTCAGCTGCAGAAGATATTGTCTGGTGATCATAAGACGACTCGGCCAGCATTCCAATGAGAACCATCTCCTGGGAATCGTTTTCATTAAAGGGAAGGTATTCGTTTGAAGTATCAGAAAAGAATGAAGAGTCCATGAAACTTAGGTTTTCTATTATTACTGAATGAGAATCTTTGAAGAGATACGATGTTTTTCGGTTGATAAGTTGGTGTTTGGTGGAATTTGAAGAAAGGGGTTTATATAGGCTGACAGTAGTACTGCTTCTTTCTATACGAAGAGAACAGTGGCAAATGTTGAAAATGGAAGTTTTTAGTGGGACTTTCAAAGGGGTGGATGCACGAATGGGTCAAAAAAGTAGATTTGGTGGCTCTGGTCAGAGGCCAATACCATGACATCAGTGCTGATGGTTTCAACTTATGTTTTGTTAAAGGGTCTCAAGACTAGTTTTGTAAAGTTTTTTATTATTCATACCGTTTTTTATTTTCTAATATATATATATATATATATATATATATATATATATATATATATATATAAAAGTCTTTATATTTTAATTTTATTGATAAAAAAATCATTTTTGATTATTTTTTGCAATTAAACCACTGGTATTAAGTGCACATTGACTCAATTTTGACAATAGAGATTTTGACGATAGACCAAAATATAGGTAATTTTTTTCAATCCGTAATAATTTTTGACATCAAATATTATCTATTTTAAGATTAAATTATAATATATTTTTGTTGAAACAACCATTACAATTTGTTTGATTTTTAATATATGATAATAAATAAATATAATTTTTTAATTATACCTCTATTTAATAAAATATAAAGGCCGATTAAAATATAAAAATATATTGTTATAAAATGTATCATCAGTTTTTTGATAATGAAACTAAATAAAAATTTGATAGGAAATACATCTACACACAAAGTATTTGATTGAAAAATCTTCATGTGGGTTGGTATGTATCAAAAATATGATTAAAATAATTAAATATGATTTGGAAATGATTTTTTTGCCAATTGGATAAATAGATTTTTAAACAATTATGAAATCACCATTGACATTGATAACCATTATAAAAATCTAAGAGAGAAAGAAGATCATATGATGTTTGTTGTTTGGATTTTTAAAATTGTAGGCATATTGATATCAAGATGGTATATTGTAATCTATATTCTATGTAAATACAAAATACTTATTGCTGAGTTATCGCAAGAATAGAACTTCTATGTCATACGGACAATTTCTATGGATGAAATAACGTATTGTTTTTAACCAAGTACTTGGTATGTAAATGTATATTTCGTATCAATTTTTGATTTAGTTCTATCATCAAAAAGTGATATACATTTCATAACAATATATTTTTACATTTTAATCGGTTTTTATGTTTTTATTAAATAGAAGTATACTTAAAAAAATTTATTTATTTATTATCACATATTATAAATAAAACAATTTGTAATGGTTGTTTCAGTAAAAATAGATTATAATTTAGAGTTGAAAAAGAGATTTCAGTAAGATTTTTCTAAATTTTCAAAATTTCTTATAACTTTTTGGGTTGTAAAAGTGAAATAACCTATAAAACATGTATATGTAAGACAAATAACTTTTAAAAAACAACTTATTATCTTATTGACTTTTTCCATCATAAAAGTTAATCCAAATACTTTTTAAAAACTCAATTTTTCACCATAATAAATCAATAAGTCATTTTATTTACAAGTTATTTTGATGTTTAAAATGAAATCTCAAACACCCTCTTAATCTTAAAATATATAAGACTTGAGGTTAACAATTATTATACATTGAAAAAAAGTACCAATATTTTGACATATTGAAAAAAAAGTTACCCTTGATATTTTATTTACAATTTAACCAACGAAACATGCTATTGTTTGCGGTAACCTAAAAATTGAGCCAAATTGCAAGTAATAATCGGTTCTAGTGGTTAAATTACAAAAAATAATTAGGGGTGACTTTTTTGTCAATAGAGCCAAAATATATGGATTTTTATGCATATTTCCTTATAGTAAATGTGTGATTTAAAAAGAAAAAAATTCAAGACAAAACTTCACATATGGTCCATATAATTTTTTTTAGAATCCCCCTAACTTCAAAAGACTCTTATATCATTTTTAAATTATTTTACATTTTCTTTTGACTAATTTTATATTGAGTAAATTATGCGATGTGTCCTTGTGGTATTATGATATTATGTGTTTAGTCCCTGAGTCAGCTTTCCCATTTATGGAGTCCTTATATGTTAAATGTATTGCATATTTGGTCCTTATACTAACCCTCTGTCAAGTTGTGCTGTTAGTGACCCCAAAGTTGGGGGTAATTTTATCAATTCAGGTTTATGGCTCTTTTATATCCTTGCTTGACAACTCCTCGCCTGTTTCTTTTGTTCTATTCTAGTTTTTTCTTTGGAAGTAGCCGTCACATGAAGAAGATGAATGAGCCAATGAAAATTAGTGGCATGTTCGTGTGGAGGTGAGACTATAATACGAACGTCATGTACTCCAAGCAACCCTGGAAGACCCTTTATGCTTGTCCCAATAAGGTACATTATTTCTTTTTTTCTCAACTGTATCCCTAAATCTTTGAATGGGTATTTCAGCTCTTAGTCTCTCACTCTTAAATCATTGATATTTGGGACCCCGTAATGGATTTATTTGTTGGGTAGACGAAGAGGAGAATACAACCGATGAAGCACTGATGATTTCAAGTTTGGTTAGGTCAAAAAAGAAGATTGAATCGAAGATTTGGAAGCTCAAGATATGGTTATTTCTTAGTTGGATTGTCTTCTTTGGCATAATAGTTTACAAGTTGTAAAGGTTCGGTAATGGTATTTTATTGGAATGGTAACTTTGTCTATTGTCTATGTAATCTTATTTAAATTTAATGAAAATGGAATTATGTTTGCTTTGTAATTTAGTTTTTGTTACTAAATTTGGGAATGGTAACTTTGTAAGTTTATTGTCCATATAATGGTATTTTGTTGGAAAGGTATTTAGTTGGAATGGTAACAATTAAAAGGATATTAAAATCAAAATGTAATATCAACTGGTAAATGAATATTACAAAGCATCTAATGGCAAAATGATAACTTAATTCTTAAACCATTCATTACAAGTACTAAAATATTAAACCATTGTAAGCCAGTAAACCAGATCATATATGGATACCAAAATGAAATTTTAATGTTTTGACAGACTACTTAACATAAGAAACACTAACAAAGACTACAATTGAAACTAACATCAAACACCAAACCATCTTCCCATTTCAACTCCTCTCCAACTACCTGTATCTCTCACACCTCTAGCACCTCCAACACATCTCTCTCATTGCCTCCACCCGATCTAGATGTAGCACCTTTCCCACGTCCTCCGTCTCTCGCATTGCCTGCAACTCTCCTACTAGATTTCCCTTTGCAACTACTAACAGTATGACCACTGTTGCCATACTTAGAGCATGTGACTAATTTTTGAGACCTGAAAATTATATGACTTTTTACCAATTCTTCAAGTTCCATTGTTGATTTCTTTTTTTCGTTTGCTTACCTATACATGGTGTTTAGGAGGTAGTAAAGTTATTGGGAAAGGTGATTAGTCCCACATGTTCCTCTTATTTATGGGTTTAATTTTAAATGAGTACATTTGCATCCATGTTTGCAGCCAATAGGTCTAATTCACCCAAGTTTATGAAATTCCTACGTTCTCATTATTCCTCTCCATGTCCCATATAGCAACAATTGCATGTTTACAAGGCATCCATGTTACTTCCCATTTCTTATAAGAACAAGTCCATGCACCTACATCATTCCACCACATCCCTAGCCTGCAACTCTTTTTGCCTTGAGGAACCACCGATGATCTTGTCGGACCATTACTTTAACTTCCGGAAATCGATGCGGGAATGGTAAAGGAATGTGACATCATCGATGAGTAGATCCGCTTCGAGAGCAGCAACGGAAATTTCTTCGACACAAGCGTCGTAAGTAACGTCACTAATGACAAAGAACCAATCGATGTCGGCGAAGGTGGCGATGATGTCGGAGATGACTAACGAATAAAAGAGGAGACCTTTAGGGAACTGAAGAATGAAACACTTGGAACTAGTGGAGCGGATACGCCTGACGAATTTATGGATTCTGAAGCTGTAGTTGGAGTGGAGGAGAGTAATTGTGGGGAAGAAGTTGGAGGTCGGCTTTTATCTCCGGTGAAATAATGGGCAACTATATGCGGTGGGGGGGGGGGGTGGAGTTAGCTTTAAAAGAAAATGGGAGGGGTAATGTAGGGTAGGGTAGGTGTAATATATATTTTATTATTTTTTCTAATTGTTGATAACTAAAAGAAAATTAAAAAAGAAAATAAAAAAGATAGATAAATCATTTCATATGGGTCAAGGAGTAACCATAAAATTGAAAACCATGGATGACCTTCCATTAAGTTTATTAAGTTTTTTGAAGTTAGGGAATATATCTCAGATTCTGAAAAATCACAGGGACCATTTATGAAGTTTTGTCTTAATTCAATTACTAAAAAAAAAATGTTTAATTTTTATTATTTTGCAAAATTTTTATGCTATAAAGTTAATAATACAATATTGGAAATAGTGTAATACATTGTTTCACAAAAATATATTATAATACATCATTCGAAAAAAGTAATACATCATAATTATAAAAAAAATTATAAATTATATAATCATTATAAATTTATATTTTATAAACAAAATATCATTAAATGTTTAATATAAATATTTAATTAGTAGATAAATAAAAAATATTTAAAACTAAGTTAATTGAAAGAGTAAAGAAATAGTAATTTAATGATAAGGGTTAAATGTATAAACACATTAAACAATATGTTGACCACATGGATGAAAAACCAATTCAGTTTCCTGGCTCACCAATTTGTTGGTCAAAAATCATTCAACTTAAAGTGGGATGTTTTGTATGGATGACCGGTGGCGGATCCAGAACGAAATCTAACTGGGGTCCATTATTGATAAAAAAAATACATACAAGTATAAAATTGTGAAAATTTTTAAAAAATTGGGTTATTTTTAGAAAAAAAATTGTAACAACGTAATTTTCAAAACAATTTTTTCATTTTT